TTTATTTTCTGTTGCTGTGACTCGCTTACCTGTTACACCTCGTGTTTCTGCTTTAGCGGGGTGTGACAATAGTCAATGAAAATTAATCCATACTAAGACTTCACATGCATAGTGTTGGGTATGTAAGGACCCTTCGCTGGTAGTGTCAGGTTCAACTTTGAGAGATCCTGCTTCTTTCGATCCTTCAGGATTTCTTGCAAGGAGAATTTCGTCTCGTGTTCATTCCTATGGGAAGGTCCATCTTCAGGATCTGAAAGGTGTCTTATTCTTGAGAGAGGCTTCTCTAGCACAAGAGGGGTATCAACAAACTTGGACACCTTCTTGAATAGCTCATTTAGGATGTCTTTGATTATTGTCTTATGCTTTTACTTTGAGTGATGAATGGCTTATCGTATATCTAGCCACTCATTGAAGCCATACTACCTGAGATAAGAAGGATACTCGGTGACAGACTCTTGGTTCTCTCTGATGATGACCATAGAGATGAATCCTTCATTCGTCCACTGATGATGACGTTTGAAATCATGTGGGGACTTATTCTCTTTTTGATCCTTTTATTGAACCATCTCTAGTTATGGTATTTCAACATCAGCGCTCTTTGATGTTCTGGTTCAGCTTGTGATAGCAACTGAGTAAGCCTTGACTGGATCCTTTTTCTTCAGCTTCCCTTTGGCCAGAGCTTTGACGGCTAAAGATTTGGATGGCTTTAAGCTGTCTTCCATCTGTTGTCCTTGAATGTGCAACTCTTCTTCAACCTTCAAGGCTTCCTCTCATTCAATGTCGGTGAAGAAGTCGAACTTACCACAACCATAGGTATGAAGAGGGATTTTTACTTTGGTTTAGTGAAGTTAAATACTCAACTGATTCATCCTGTGGTCGTTGAGAGCTTCAAATGTTGGAATAACAACTATCCTTTCGTTTAGAGGACCATAGGGGATCATTGGTACATTGAGAATAATGAAGGATGCTTCAAATTCACAAGATAAGGGTACAAACTTGGAGATTTATGCAATGTTGGTAGGGTCAATCTTCTTGAAGATGATTGCTAAATTTCCTTCTTCAGCCACTTCTTTATTTTTACCAGAGGAGGGCTGGTTCCTTGTGGTTTTTCCCCTTGGGAAGCTGATTCCCTCAGGGAGACACCCTTTTGAGCCGAAGCCGGTCTTGGATGATATTGGATAGTGAATTCATCATTATCATCGTTTTCATTATTGTCGTATTCATCATCATCATCATCATCATCATCGTCATCTCTAAGACTGTCCAGCGTCAGGAAGGAGAGGATCTTCATCCTCATCACCAACATTTAATGTAGAGGTGATGGGAAGGTCTTCGTGAGTAGATGGAGCTACCATGACATCATCATCCTCAATGTCAACAACAGCTTCAGCTTCGTTGGAAGTGATGGCATCATCAGATTTAGCGATTAGCGCTAGCTGTTCAACTTCAGCGGCAACAACAGCTTCATCCACGATCTCCACAACAATTTTCTTACGCTGGTCTTTCTCCCCCTCTTTGTCATCAGCAAGACTAGATGTGATATCATTAAGACGCAAGGAGATTTCTTCAGTGCTTTGCTCGAGGTTGGAGAGAGCCTCAACTTGCAGAAGGTTAAACTTGGCCACTCGGTCCAATGATTGTCGGTCAACATTAGTAAACAATGGATTAGGGACCAGGGCCGGATGCTGTAGAAGCGCGAGAATTTTCTAAAGCAGCTCACCATGCTTAGTGAGCTGAGCTTGCACTTCATTGGCCTTGCTATTGAGAGCATTTATGGCCTCAGTGCTGGTGCACACTTCATTTTGCACCATCTTCAACAATTTATTTACTTCAAAGACCTCAACTTTAACAACAGAGAGGTTGTGAGTAAGGTCTTCCTTCATGGGCATCGGTTGGTGGACCTCATCCATCTTGTCCAAGACGGTGGCCACGGTGGGGAGGAGCTTGACGTCTTCAGCCATGTCATAGATATCTGTCTTGTGATAACCAGGATCTGGTTACACACCAAATGTAATTATTATGTGAATTACGTGAATATGTAATTAACTGATTATGTGGATATATGCATAATATATGTGAAAATATGTCTGCGTAAGATTATTAATATGCATATGTGTATGCATGTTTTAAATGTATGCATGCATAAAAGTTTATGTGCATGATATTGAGGGGATAAGATTGTGATAACCGGGTCCTGGTTATTACCCAAGGTATTGTTTATGTGAATTAATTGTTTATGTAGATACATGCTTACATGGGTTATATATGCGAGTATGTGTATTTTTTTATGCATAGGGATATATGCATAATATGTAGATATATATATATATATATATATATATATATATGTATAATCTATATATATGTAGAGTATGTATGCATGAGGAGTATGCATAGATATATGTGTGTGTATGTATGTAGGAAGTGTTATGTGCATGCATGCATGTGGGTAAGGGCCTGGATGGCCGACTTCCCTAAAAAGGGAAGGTATAAATATGAGGGTAAAGTTTTTCTTAAACCTCTTGCCTCATTTGGAAATTTGAGAGAGATTTGAGAAGGGTTGTCCGGATAATCAAGAATTGGATTCAAATTACCTTTCATCTTCTTCAAAACAGAGTTTTGCATAAAGGTGAGTATTTTTCTAAAAATTCTTGTTGGGTTTGAGTAAGAGCTTTAATGTTGTATTCAAGTTTCTTCTTAGTTTACTTACCTTGTAATAATGTAGCTTTTCTATTTTCCTTAGTATAAATAGTATTTTCATTGTAATTGTCATTACCAAGTAATTAGCAGATTGTAATCAAGATTTGAGCTGTAATTTTCTCTCTCTCAATCAAATCAACCTTTGATGATATTCTCTCTACTATTCTATTCATCTTGATTCTTGAAGATCTTATCATGTTTGTATGAATCTTGGACTTCACAATTGGTATCAAAGTAGACTACAGCAGTTTCGATTAGAGGATTAAACAATTTTTGCACATTTTTGCACGAATTTTTGAAGATTGATCGATCTGGGTCTATGATGTTCATCACTGTTCTGTTCTTCGTCCAGATTAGGTTTTTGAGCCTAAATTGGTTGTTTTTTCATTGTTAATTGAAAAGATTTACATTACTAGATTCGTTTTTGTATTTCGAACAACTTTGATTCACACTATTTTTGATTTTAAGCAAGTTTTAAACCTGTTTTAGTCGAATTTTGAGTTTTCGTATTCTGGAAAATATTCTTCAAAAGTCATATTTTTTCATGTTTTGATCCAAATTTTTGGTAAAAGGTGTGAAATTTTGTGTTTTTGGTTGAATATTAGTCCGCTTAAGACTTGTGCGATTTAGGGTGTTATCCGCTTAATACTTGTGCTATTTAACATTCGTGTGATTTTTGAGTTGTTTGATATAGGTTTATCCGGACAACACTTGTGCGGATAATCAAGCGGTTTATCCAATCCATCTGGTAAATCGTTGATAACTTGAACGGATTATTGAGCGATTTAAACAATCCGGCTGGTAAGTCATTGGTAACCTGAATGGATTAGTGGGCGATTTACACAATCCGACTGGTAAGTCGTTTAAGTGTTGTGCGATTTGGTAAGTGATTTAAAGAATCCGCTTGGTAAGACTTGTACTTAGTGCATTTGTCTATTTGAGCGATTTATATTTTTTATTGTACATTCTTTGGTGATTGAACGGATATTGACTTTTGATCGATTTAATTCTTTGACTTTTGATCGATTTGTTTTACAAGGACTTATACGTACATTGACTTGTTGACTTTGTTGACCTTGACTTGTTCACTTTTTACGTCCGATTTTCATTTTGAAATTTTGACTAAGTGTTGAAAACATCCGATTTGAGAATTTTAATTCAAATTGATTTTTGTGCCTTGTCCTTATTACATTTTGCTTAATCCGCATGAATTTTGCTTAATTGTATAAATCTGGTTAAATGTAGATAAGTGATTTGTGTTTGTTCGGACTTCTAATCCGGATAACTTGTTGAATAGTCTATCTTTGTTGTCCGGACTTTCAATCCGGATAAACTTGACCGGATTACTAATCCGGATAAACTTTTGTGCCTAAATTTTTCTAAGTGTTGAATGTGTGCAAAGCTTTGTTTTGAAATTATTAGATATATATTCGTAAACTGATCCTTTAATTCAAACTTTGAACTGCAGTTGATCCTACTTCATACGAATTGATACTATGAGTTCACGAGAAGCAATGGCTATTGGTACTGGTACCAAGCCACCTGTTCTGTTTCGTGGTGATTATAATCAGTGGAGAGATATATTTCTGAACTTTGTTGAGAGAATGAAATAAGGAGATCTGATTATGAAATCTTTAATGGAAGGTCCTGCTGAATTCTTCCTAGAGATAGATACTGATGTAATAGAAGGCATACCTGTTCAGAAAGTACCCAAACTAAAGCATCAATATTCATCTGAAGAAAAAGAGAGAGCYCATGCTGATGTGCTTTGCAAGTCTTATATGATGCAAGCATTGACTAATGATATTTACACTAGTATTGACAGTCATAAATCATCAGGTCACATCATGTGGATTCAAATTGAAAAGATGATGATGGGTTCGAAAGTGGGAACTCA